CTGGTTACTATGTCTTTGACAGTGAGATCTCTGGATCTGAGGTCAACCCCTTTAGTTTAGCTTAATTTAGTCTTATTGATGGACATCATTTCCAGATGTGTCCTACTTCCCCCCCGCAGCATACAACACAGTGTCAGTTCATATGGGTCTACTCATATTTTTTCTGAATTTCTCATAGTTGTTTCTTACTGTGCAATAATATCCTATTATATTTTTATTATAATAATAGCTAGTATTTAATTAGAATTTTTGGGTTTTCAAAGTGCTTTGCAGATTTTATCTGATCCTCACAACAACCCTGGGTAGTAGGTCCTTTTACTGTCCCCCTTTTACAGATGAGGAAATTGAGGCAAACAGAGGTTAGAGATAACTTGCCTAGGGGCACACAGCTCATAAGTATCTGAGGCCAGATTTGAACTCAGGTCTGGCTCCAGGTAGAAGACTCTTCACTGCATCACCTCCCGGCCTCATTTGTTGTTTCTTACTGTGCAATAATAGTCCATAATTTGTTTATCCTTCCCCAATTGATGGGTACTCACTTTGTTTCCAGTTCTTTGATCCCCCACAAAAAATGGTGTGAATATTTTGGTATACATGGGATTTTTCCTTCTGTTGTTAATCTCCTTAGGTAGTGCCTAGCAATCAGTCCCTTTATTTTGTAGACCACACAACTGAGACGCAAACGGTTGAAATGTCACGCCCAAGGTCACATTGATAGGTGTTCAGAGGATGCTCCAGTTGGGGAGAACTTTAAGACCTAGAAGGTTTGAGCTATCAGGACCCTTTGAAATTTGTGAGTCCAGCCTCTTCATTTTGCCAAGGAAGAAGCGAAGCCTCCAAGTAAGGCCAAAATGCTCTGAAGGTCTTGAAGGTGGTCACAGAGCTGCCACCAGAACCTAGCCAGGCTCTGGGGCTTTCTGCCGCCACGCCTGTCTCTTCTCTTCAATTTGATGATCCGTTTATGATTTATTTGGAGCCTTGGTTTTTAGAAGCCCTGTTTCTGGAAACTCATTAAATTTGGGACTTATTTTATCAGATGGTTATTAATGTTTTATTAGTTTTGTTCCTGGATTTACTTAGTTCTTTTCTTGGGACTTGAAGTAAGCCAGGAGGCTGCAAATGCAAAGTTAAAAAAATAAACTTCACAAGTACAAGATGGGAGAGGCGTGGCTAGACAGCAGTTCGTGTGAAAAAGAGCTGGGGGTTTGAGTGGACCCCTAGTTCCACAAAATCAACAGTGCTACATTATCTGAAGCTACATTAAGAGGTAGAGGATTAAGAGAGTGAGGCTCCCTGGTTCTGGGCTGGACTAGATGCTTGCAGTCATCTTTCAGCTCTCAAAATCCATACTTTTGAAGCTCTTGAAGTGTAAGAAAAGATAGAAAAAAATTAATAAATGCTTATCAAGTGCCCGCTGTGGGCCAGGCACTGTGGCTGCAAGGACAGAATTGGAATAGTCCTCATGCTTAAGGAGCCTCTGTTGTTTTGAAGAGATAACATCGTATAGAAATAGAAACCCTATACATGCCACAGAAATGCCAAGGTGGTGGGGATGGGGGTGAGGAGGAGCTGAGCTTTGAAGCAAATGAGGGATTCTTCAAGGCAGAGTTGAGGAGGCGGGGAGGGCATTTTAGACCTGGGGAGCAGCTTGGGTACAGAGATGGGAGATGGAATGTCCCGTATATGGAACAGCTTAAAGGCTCACTTGGCCCGACTGTCTGTGGGAGGGGTGCTGTGGAGTAGGCTGGCAAGGTAGGCTGGAGCCAGGGCTTGGAGTGCTAGACAGGATTCTCTCTTTGGCCTTGGGCAAATCACACTTAGTCCTTCCCTAGGCCTCAGTCTTACAATTAGGAAAATGGGGATAATCACCCTAACGTCTGAGTTATTAGAGGCCCACTTATTTGAGTGTTTTGAAGTTCAGAGAATAGTTGTATTCTATAAAGCTGCAGACATGCTGCAGCCTGGTCTGAGGGGTGGGGTGTGGGGTGGGACAGTGGACAGGGTGGCAGGAGTGCGGGGGGCCTGCTGTACATTCCCCCTTCCCCCCCCAGGCCTCAGAGGGGCTGCAGCGAGGAAGCCCACATGCAAAGGCTGGAAGGGAGCTGCTCATGGCCACATAGGCTATTTCCTGCTCCCCAGGAGCCTCACTGTGTTCCCATAGACAAGTTGCCCCACCTCTGAGAGCCTCAAGAAGTTTTCTGGTGAGGAGATCATTGTTTTCAGCAGGCAGGGAGTGTGTGCTCCTTGCGTGCTGAGTCCTGTCATCCCACGGAGCAGAGCAGATGGGATGCTGTCCAGAGCCCGTGCGCCTGCTGTCAGGCTGCTCTCCCGCCACCCTCGGTCCCCCTGCCCTGAGCCGCTGGCTGGCTGCACGTGGAAATTCCCTCTTTGTCACAACTTCCCAACTTTTCTGCCTGAGTGGATCTTTTGGTTTTCTTTTCAAAATGTGTAATTTAATAAGTATTAATGAAAACCACCGGTCAAACCAATGACACATAAAACCTACTAGCTGTACCCCCAGTTTGTTAAAGGTAACGAGTCCTAGCGTGAACATCTTATTTTCTTGTATGTCTCCAGCCCTGCGCTCTTTCTTTCTGGGAGGGGGGAATTTTGCCCCCAGGGAATGAATCCATGGGTATTTGTCTCTCCCCTGCCCATAGGGGTTGTTTAGAGGGACCTCCTCGGGGTCAGACCAGCTACTTTCTGTTACCCAGAAGATATTTTCTGTTTTTATTGATAAATTTTGTTTTAAAAGCATTTGGTATCTCATTCAGTCAAACCACAAAGTATATTCCCCCCAAATGAAGTCACAAATAGATAACTGGTTGGGATGTACCAGCACGTGCAGCTAGAGTAGAATTAGGGAAGATGTAACAGATGTGGCTGGAGACTTCTCAGTAAAGAGGGAACACCAGATTTGTTCCAGTTGGGGTTGGCTTGATTGAGTTATTTCTAAAATTATCCATGAGTGTTTTTCAGGGGAAAGGATTCCTGCTTTGGCCTTTTCTGTTCCTCGTTTGACCTTTGACCAGATTGACATTTGCTGGTCTTGTAGAGAGGCTCTTCTGGCCCGAAGTGGGGAGGGGGGGTGGTTCTCAGCCTGGCGGGTGGGCTTGGCCTGGCTCTGCCTCCCCTCCTTTCCAGGACTCTTTGCCACCCAAGTGGTTTCTCCTGCACATGCCCACCCCGTTCTGTCCTCAGCCAGGCAGGCCTCCCACCCTTTCCCCTACTGTGCGTGGGTGGCTACTTTGTCGGTGAGGCCCAAGGACTGTCCTTAGGCCTCACAGGGCTCCTCTCCTGTATTTCTCTTTTATCCCCCAAACAAAAAGCTGCCTCAGGATTTGCACAGTGTTCACTGTCAGTGTCTTGGATGGTTTTGTGGGCCTGCAAGGGTCTCACTTCCCAGCGCATGCCAAGTTAGGTTCAGGGGCTTTGTGGGATTATTAGAGTCTTTATCCCGGAGATTGCGGGTTTTTCCCCAAGCTCACAGTCACTTTGCATCCCAAGGGCTGCCTCCAGTTACGTGCACCCTGGACCTGCTTGCTCGGGAAGGTGTCTGCTGAATTAACGTGACCTAGCCAAGAACATCTGTGGAAGGAAAAGCTAGGCTCGAGTGGCCAGTGTCGTTTCTGTGGCAGCTACAGGAAAGCCCGAAGTAAAGAGGCCCTGGCTCCTCTTAGTGCAGCATTGACCGTCAAACCTGGGGAGAAATGACACTTCCAAGGAAGGAGAGGAGGGAAGAAAGCTTAGTTTGTGCCTGAGCTTCCCAAAATGGGCTGGCTGAGCATCTGCTTGCTGCTGGGCCGGGCTGGGGGGTGCAGAGTCTGTGCAGAGCCAGGGCTGACGGGGAGAGCCCTGTGTGCAGGGAGGTTACGCCTGCCTTTGCCGGGGCTGATTATTTACATATTGGGAGAGTGAAAGAAAACAGATGGCAGGCAGACAAGCAGGGGTTCCCTGCCCTTGTGGCCCTACAGGCTCTGTATTCACTCTCCTAAAATTTGCCTACAAATACAAGAAAAGAATGGGCATGTAGCCTGGCCCAGAGCTGTGGGGGTGCAGGAAAGCATTCGGCAAGCACCTCTGGCATCTGTTGGCCTGAGGCTCTGTGTGTGGCAGCTGCCGGCTGCTGGGGGTGTCTCTAGGTCCTGGAATCCTAGAATTTTAGGATTGGAAGGGACTGCAACAGCTATAGCGCATGCTTGAAAGTGGTCACCCAGCTTCTGCTTGCAGATGTCTAAGGAGGGAGCATTCACTCCCCCTAGCCCCCTAAACAACTTCCCCTCTGGGGCGGCTCTCAGTGGATAGAAATGTTTCCTGACAGCCAGCCTGTCCCCGTTGTTCTTGATTCTGCCCTCTGGGGCTCAGCCAAGCAGTCCTAATTTCTGGTAGAGTAGGATGTTAGGAAGGAAAAGAGGAGTTCAGATCCCCCTCAGCTGAGGGGCATGGGCTTATGGCTTCAGAGGCCCCTGCCAGCTTGAGGGCTGGCACCCCTATCATCTCCCTCCTCCCAAGGGCTAACCCTCTCTCACTTCAGCCCAGGACAATACAGTGGGCAATAGCCGTGGGCAGCACCTGGGGCCTCGGGCACCTTTGGGTCTTTGCCAAAGACTTTGTAACTTTTTGGTTCATTTTTGAAGTGTCATCTGTACCCAGGTGAATTACCAGGAGAGACCAGTTAATCCCCCTCTCTCCTCTTTTCCCTCTCAACACCTCCCCCCATTTCTCTTTCTTTATTCCTCTCTTCCTCTCTCCCAAACTCACCTTTCCCCAGTTATTCCATGTTTGACTCTAGTCTGGTGAAGGTGCTGATTGTCCTTTTTGCCATTGTCCTGAGTCCTGTGAGAGAGAGAGAGAGAGAGAGAGAGAGAGAGAGAGAGAGAGAGAGGGAGAGAGAGAGTGTGTGTGTGTGTGTGTGTGTGTGTGTGTGTGTCTGTGTGTGCGCGCGACAGCCAGAGTTTGTCACTCTGTGGTTCTGATGCCCCTTTTTTCCTGCCTGCCAGACAGATGTGTTGGTGCTGAGCTGTGATCTAATAACAGATGTTGCGCTCCATGAGGTTGTGGATCTGTTCCGTGCACACGATGCTTCCCTTTCGATGTTGATGAAAAAAGGCCAAGAGTCCATGGAACCAGTCCCAGGACAGAAAGGGAAGAACAAGCCAGGTAAGGAACACCTGAGGTGTTCTTCCATCTGTCTCACAGGAGGAGAGTGCTAGGGTTCAAGGTGGCATCTTTTCAGCCCCTCATTCTCAAAGTCCAACCAAGATATTTTCATAAAACACTGACCTCCTTTCCCTGGTGTTGATTGCAACCTCTCTGTACCTTTTCATCTTCAACAGTCGTGTCCATGTCCTTCCCTAAGTCCCAGGCTCTTGGAGTTGGAAAAGAGCCAGGAGGCATCAAGATTAGATCCTTGTCACCCAGACAAGAACCCCAATATCTACCATATACTGGACTTGCAAGTGTCCTCGAGTAGGGTCCTTCCCACTACTGGCAATGAACAATGTTTCCTGTTTTGCTCTCTAGGCTTCAAAAGAACAAATCTTACTTGTTCCCTGTGGTTGCCATGGCCTTTATTTCCTGCCTAGTAGGACAGATAAGTGAGAAAAGACACATGGACCCCTCAGGGGTGGCCTGTCAGCCCTTCTGGGAGCCATCTGCCCATAGCAGCCCAGCATCCTTGGGCCCTTCCTCTCATGAGCCTGTGGGGCCTACTGGGGACAGATTTCCCAGCTGAGACAGCCTTTTAGATTGCAGCAGAGCGATGGGAGGGCCATTGAAAAGGGGGGACTGCTGTCTTCTCAGTGCCTCCAATCCTCCAAGCTTTGCAATGGCATCATCCTCTTTCTTCTCTTTTCCTGCAGCTAGCCAGAGAGCGATCTGAGGAGTGAATGAGATGCTATGGGTACCAGGCTCTCTATAGACGTTTGGTATTGCTAGTGTTACCAGTCTGGCTCTTCACTGAGGCCTTTTCCCTCTCTTCCCCCATCCTTCTCCACCTCTCACTCCTTTCCCTCAACCATCTTCTTTTTAAAATTTAGCTTTTCAATGAACAAGCCCCACCCCTCAACTGAAAAGAAAAAAGGAAAAGCAACATAGTCAAGCAAGATGGATTCCCACGTTGACTGTGGCCACAAATGTGTGTCTCATTCTGCCCCTTGAGCCTCTCACCTCTGTCAGGGGGCAGATGACTTGCCTTATCCCAGGGCCTCTGGAGGTGCTCTTGGGCTCTGCATTGATCAGAGCTCTTCAGCCTTTCGGAGCCTCTTGCAGCCTTGCCTTTGCTGTTGGCCCGGTGAGGAGTAGCTCGTGGTGGCTTCTGGGGAAGCTTCCCTTCTTGCTGTCTCTGAACACAGAGCCCTGCAGGCGACACTGATCTTTGGCCGGTCTCTGGCCAGAGTGAGAGGCTGCTGGCTTTTTGGGCAGCATCCCTTCCCCTCACCTACGGGCTGCCTTTTTGTGAAGCTGTGGCATGGAAGAAGTCACTTTATGTAATTTCTCTCACATTACTCAGCCTGGTGCCATGTTTGGGTTTTTGTTGGAGGAGGTGGAGGGGATTTGCCTGTCCCCATTTAGGCGGCTGTCTTGGGTGGAGTGTGGACGTCTAGTACATCCCTCTTTGTAAAGTTTAGGAAACTGAGACCCAAAGAAGGGAGGGCCTTTGCCAAAAGTCACACAAGGAGTAAGTTGCAGAGCCAGAATTTGAAGCCGAGCCCTGGACTCTGAATCCAGTGCTCTTTTCTCACTGTGCCACAAATGCATTGTCCTGTACCTGGATTTAAGACACCAAGCGCACAATCTGAGGAGGGGGAAGGCTTGGCTAAGTGACACTTCAGGTGGGAGAGATTGGAGGATTTTGGCAGACTACTACTACTACTGAGAGTCAGCCATCTGGCATGGCAACCAAAGAAGCTCACCTGGACTTCGGCCGCACGGCGTCTAGCCTGGCTCTGCTGGGCCCTGCTTAGACCGCTCCCGGGGTGCTGCCTTTAGTACAGTGCACCTCGACACTGGCAAAGTAGATTGAATCCAGGCACCAGAGGGTACCCGGCATGGGGAGAGAACAGGAGCCCTTGCCCTGAGGTAACTAGTTGAAAGAACTGGAGGAGAGAAGACTTAGGGAGACTGTCTTCAAGCAGTTAAAAAGCTGCCATATGGCAATTAGAGTTGTTCTCTTTGACCCCAGAAAATAGGGCCTGGAGTCATGGGTAGGAGCTACAGGGGAGCAGTTTAAAAGTAGAATGGGGTGTTTGATAAGTGGTTTGTCCTTTTGAAGAGGACCACTGTCCTGTCACTAGTGACTGGCCAAGCTCTGAGCACTCCGCAGTGTCTGCTTCAGCTGCCTTCATAGCTGTGGAACTGTTCTTATCCACTCATCTCGCTGGGGAAAGTTTCCACGTGCTTGGGATAGCTAGCCCTCGAAATCCCTGACAGGTGGGAGGTCTGTTGGTTTAACCTATCTGCTGAGATGGTTTTACTGGGGTGTGGCCACTATACGTGCTAGAGCTTTGTGGAGTAGCAGTGAAGGTGTATGAACAGCCCTAAAAAGGGCTCAGCAAACCCTCACACCAGAGGTGCTAATCCTTCTGAACACACCCTGTACCTCTTGAGCTCCCCATCACTGCTGGTCTTCTAGTGGAGGCTAGATTACCCTTTGGATGTTATGGGCAGTGTTCCTGTTTTGAGTATGTACTGGGCTGGACCCCACAGGTCCCTTCCAACCCTTTGAGATTTTGTAATTCTTGTAACCACCTGTGGATGAGGGCCTGCACAAGAGTTGAAATGGTGGGAAGAGAAAGGAGGGAGGGAATTTCAGCAAAGAAAGAAGTATCCGTCGTGGTGACAGAATTGAAGAGACAAGGGACAAGGGACAAACAGGACGAGGGTGCTGTTGCTTGGGGAGAAGATGGGCTTACTCTTTGTCACGCAGACAGCTGGAGTCCTGCCCTGCACAGGGATCAGGATCCGCCCTGTTGGAATGGATGCTTATCTGAGGGAGGAAGTGTAGTGAACTGAAGATGGAGTCTTGGGCACCAAGAGGAACTGGTGCTGTGGAGGGGGCTTGCCTCACAGCTTCATCCCGGTGGGGTTCAGACTGCCCTGGAGTGCTTCTCCAGAGGCAGGCTTTGAAGGGAACTCCTTTACTCCAAAGCAAAGTTGGATTTTGCCAGAACCGAGCTGTACAGGAGGCTGGGATTTCAGCTTCATTGAGATCATGGTTATTCTGTCAGCTATAAGGCAGCAAATATAGTTGAAGACCAAGGGGAGTGGGGAAAGGGTTAAAAATTCAACTTAGCTGAAAAATTATCTTTACAGAAACTGTTGGTTCCAGGCCCTTCCTTTTGTTATGTGGTTTTGTGAGCCCCAAGGATCTGGGCAGGGCCAGAATATTCCAGGATTTATCCAAAAATAACATCCTAAGTTTTTCTTTGCATGTTCGAAGAATCGGAGTCATACCACTGGGGACATGGTTATGCAGTCCAGCGTCAGTATGATGGAGCTCTTTGTAGGTGGGCTTGGGGTGTGGAGAGCGCCGGCCTAGAAGCTGGGAGAGCTGAACTCCAGTTTCGCTTCTGCCATTGACCAGCTGGATGGCAAGTTCCTTGACCCCTCTGAACCTCAGTCCTCTCATCTGTAAACTGAGGGGCCTGGATTGTACGATTCCCAAGGTCATTCTATCTCTCAGCTCAAACAGGGGTTCCTAATGGGCCCATGGGTCCAGAGATTTCAGGGGGTCCATCATCTTGGATGGAACTTTATTTTCACTAATCTCTAACTGAAGGGGCAGCTAGGTGGCGCAGCAGGTAGAGCACCAGCCCTGAAGTCAGGAGGACCTGAGTTCAAATCCGGTCTCAGACCAAACACTTGACACTTACTAGCTGTGTGACCCTGGGCAAGTCACTTAACCCCAATTGCCTTAAAAAAAACAAATCACTAATCTCTAACTGAAATCTAGCAGGTCCTTTAATTATGAATGCAGACCATAAACCACAGTAATTTTAGGCTCTGCCAGACCTCCCAAGGGGTTCATGGCCCCATGTGATGAAGAGTGTACAGTCAGCCTGCCGCTACATAAGCAGTGTGCCCCCTTTCAACCCTGGCTTCTATTTGGTGCATTCCCTTCATAGCATCATGGCTTCTGCCAGGGCCCAGTCCATCCTCCACACTTGACAGGCAGGGGTGCTCAGGCTCAGTTTTGTGTGTTAAAGATACGGCTAACATTTGTACAGGGCTGCTCTAAATGCTTCTCGTTTGGGAACTACAAAGAGCATATCGGATCTCGGGTTAACTCCAGAGCTGGGGGCGCTGGCCCCCTGAATGCGGATCCTCTCCAGGGCCCTCCACCCCACCCCACCTCTTCTGGACCTGCTGTTACCTCTCTGGAGCCTCTCTAGACACAGAAGGGTTAAGCCACCTGCCCAGCGTCATCAAGCTAGTAAATGTCAGAGGCGGCGTGGACCCAGGGCTGCTGACTCCAAACTCAGTGTGCTTCCCACTGCGCCACACTTCCTTTCTTGAAAATTTGGTACCTGAGACTTCCTGGTCTGGGTGGCACAGTGGAGAGAGTGCCCATCTGTAAAGTGGGGATGATAAGGGTTGTTGTGAGGATCAGAAGAGACAGTATCTGTAAGTGCTCTTCTATCCTTAAAGTGACCCATAAATGCTTACTGTTCTTTTTTTTTTATAAATAGTATTTTATTTTTTCCAATTACATGTAAAGATAGTTTTCAACATTTATTTTTATTTTTAAAAATTTGTTTTAGTTTTCAGTATTCACTTTTATAAGATTTTAAGTTCTAGATTTCCCCCCCTCCCCAAGATGGCATGCAATCTGATATGGGCTATGCATGTAGAATCATGTTAAACATATTTCCACATTAGTCATGTTGTGAAAGAAGAATCGGAATGAAAGGGGGAAAAGAAGAACAAAGAGAAAGAAAAAAAAGCAAAAATAGTCTGCTTTACTCTGCACTCGGACTCCATAGTTCTTTCTCTAGATGTGGACAGCATTTTCTACCATAAGTCTTTTGAAATTGTCTTGGATCATTGCATCGCTGAGAAGAGTTAAGTCTATCCAAGTTGGTCATCACACAGTATTGCTGTTGCTGTGTACAATGTTCTCCTGATTCTGCTCATTTCCCTTGGCACCAGTTCATATAAATCATTTCAGGTTTTTCTGAAATCCGCCTGCTCATCATTTTTTATGGAACCACAGTATTCTATTACATTCATGTACCATAACTTGTTCAACCATTCCCCAACAGAAGGGCATCCCCTCATTTTCTAATTCTATGTCACCACAAAAGAGTTGCTGTAACTACTTTTGTACATGATCTCTTTGGGATGCAGACCTGGCAGCTGAGTCAAAGGGTGTGCACAGTTTGGTTGTCCTTTGGACATAGTTCCAAATTGCTCTCCAGAACGGTTGGATCAGTTCACAACTGCACCAACAATAATGCTCACTATTCTTAAGCAGAGGGAGAGCACTAAAGCTTACACTTAGGTGGAGCTGGCAGGGAAGCTGAGGTAGCATGTAACTGCCTCGAAGGCAAGGACTGTTTACATTGATGGCTTTGTATTTACCTCTGCTGGTACACAGTGTGCACTGAACACTTGCTTGAGGAATTGAATCAAGTTAGATTAAGAATGTCTAGTCTTGCCCTTGGAGTTAGAGTTCAGATCCCGTCTCTGATAGCAGCTAGGAGGCTGTGTGACCCTGGGACAGTCATTGCACTGAGCCTGTTTTTTCTTAGGTAGAGTAGGAGTAATTATAAGCCTGGCAGTATTTCTCTAGAAGGGTTGTCGTGAGACCCAAATGCAAACATGTTTGTACAGGACTTGGCCTTGCTTGGATCTTAGTTATTATAATAATAATAGTTATTAATAGCAATTTAGGGGAAACAGGAAACAATCCCAAAGAGTCAGACACAAGCAGATTGCCTGAACTACAACAGCAATAACAGCTGGCACATAGTAGGCACTTGATACGTGTTTGCTAATTGACTGTTTCTGCCACAGTTCTGTAGAAGCCAGTCATGGGTCACTCAGAACAGGTCCCGACCAGTGAATCCCATTTCCTTTTTTGTTGGGATGAATGGGCCAGCTCTGGGGGATGCCCACAGAGTGCTGATGCCCTGGCCCCAGCTGACGTGTAGCCTGGTTTCCTGCTGTTCTGCCACTAGTGTGTGCAGGACCGTCCACCTGGGTCCCTCCCCGTTCCTAGAACATAATGCCCTTCTCCACACTGCTCAAGTCTTTGCCTGAAATTCTTTCTCTTTTCCTTGACCACTCACTCTTCAATTCCTCAGGCTGCCTAGTAGAAGCATAGCCGTCCTTCGGGGACTAACTAGAGAACAGCTCCAGACACCCCGTGGGGCCAGCTTGGCAGGCACATTGCCTTCAAGGGGCACCCTTGCCACTGGAGCCAGGCAGCTGCTCCACAGGCCCTTGGTTGAGCCACGTGGGTACTAGCTTTGCACCCATCTTCTCCTGGGGTCTGTGAATGTGTCCCGTAATGTGTGTAAAGGTTCCACCTGTGTTGTTAGCGTTTGGGCTCTGAGAAAGGGAAGCAGCTGACCTTGATCCTTAGCGAGCCAAGATCCTGGTAGCGAGGGCACGTGTCTGATGATCTGCTTCTTGTGACTCAGTGGAGCAGCGGGACTTCATTGGTGTGGACAGCACGGGGAAGAGGCTGCTCTTCATGGCTAACGAGGCCGACCTGGACGAAGAACTCGTCATTAAGGCATCGATCCTGCAGAGGTAAGCCTGGGGCTTACCTGTTGGCGCTTCTCACCCTTAAACAATAGTGACACAGATCGGCATAAAGTGGATGGGGAGGGCGATGGTGTGAGCTCAGCAGACCTGTGTGAGACAGCCCCCAGTGCCAGAGCCTCTCCCCAGGATGGCGATCATTAGGAAAACTTTGCCTTCTCCTTGCCACCCTTTTCAGCCAGGGGAAACCCTGGAAGAAGGAGGATTGGAAAGCCCTGGGTTTGTTTGGGAGTATGTCCTTTTGGTCCTTTTGGGATCTGATTCTCTTAGGAGATGGGGTGTATGTGTGTGTGTGTGTGTATGTGTGTGTGTGTGCGCACGCGCGTGTGTACATGCATGTGTGTATGTGTGGGGGTGCTTGCGCATGGGTGTGTGGTGTATGCATGCTGCACACATTGGTGTATGCATGTGTGTGTGCGTGTGCATTTGGAGAGGGGGTGTCCAGAGCCTTCTGTTGGCACAAAGTCTAGCTTTTGTTTTTTGCTTTATGTGAGCATAGGGCCCAAGGCAGCCAGAATATTTTAGGTGATGCTGTAGTTAATGAAAAGAAAGAGAAGTCAGCTTCCCACTGGGCCGGTGACACCCCCCAGCCCCACATGCTGTACAGAGAATAGAGGCCCCTCTCCAACCACGACTCACAAACATGGAAAAGGCTGTGGTTGGGCTTTCTGCCATCCGTGTGCTTTCGTTTGTGCCTGTAAGGAGATGACCTTGCTCTCTGCCATGGCGGGTTGGGCACTGCAGTGAGCACTTTGCAGATATCTCATTGATGTGCTTGTGACCCAGTGAGTAGGTCGTGCATCGGGTACCTCCTCTATTCATGGTAACCGCCTCGGCACTATCAGTCTGTGAGGTCACGCCAGACCGAACACAAACAAGGTCAGGAATCTGAGGGAAATAATGGAGAAGAGTTGGGTGGAGGGGGTCTCAAAGTGCAGACTTCCTATTCCATGAAGCAGCAAGCATCCAAGCTTTGGCTGACACGTGGGACACAGACCCGGTAAGCAAGACCTGGTGCAATGAGCCATCAGGGCCTGCCCAGCGTTCAGCAAATCCAAGGACGCCAACGACTGCTTTCCCCGATTCCTGTGTAAGCCCAAACTGCTGGGAAAATGGAAGGCAGCTAGCAGAAAGGAGGCCCTGTATAAGGCATCATAAACTCCAAATGGAAATGAGACCTCAGCATTAGAACGTGGTATCTGTCCAAAACCAGAGGACAATGGCAGGGAGACCCCTGACACAACCGTTGCTGGGCAGGCAGCACTTTGTAAGTGCCAGTCCCTGTGCTCAGCCTTGTGACTAGAGGGGTGATGGGAGAGTGCCAGCCTTGAGCTCACGCTCTCATGGGGGGCAGAGAGAGGGCGTGTACAGACACACCGCCAGTAGCTAAGACCATCGTGGTGGGGAAGGGTCTGATGCCTGGGGCTCCTACAGGGATCTGAGGGGCAGATCTGGGCTGGAAGCAGCACTCTCAGGAGTCCGGAGCAAGGGTTCTTCCCGCCATTCAGGGCTGGCTCTTTGTTCTAAGTATTCTTTCCCCCCTTCTCCTGGCTCTTGGTCCTGGCTGCCATGTGGGAGTTTCCTTTGTTGGGTGGATGAGGCAGTTGTCTGGAGAAGGGAGCAGGCAGCTCCTCTGGAGCTGAGCATTGGGCTGCTTTCTGCCTCAGCTGTGTGGTGGTTGGAGTAAGCCTGCCCCGGACTTCTCGGTGTTCTTTTGTGGTGTTCCAGCAGTCTTTCCAGTTTTTTCGTTTCTTTACTTCATTTTAGATCCAGAGACCTTGGTTTGCATTGGAAAAAAACCAAGAGAGTCTTAGGGAAGTAATGTACGTGTCAGTGGAGGAGGCCTGGTTAGGCAGCTGTTGTTCTGAACAAGATCTGGGAGTTTGGGTGACTTGACAGCTCACAAGGAGCCCGAGGGGAATGTGTCAGCCCCCAAACTAATGGGATCTTGGACTGCATTGAGACATGTGGAGGTGAGAGTCTCACTGTGCTCTGTCCTCATGAAGCCCCCAAGGTAGAACCAAGAACACAGGGGGAGTTTTAAAGTGGCCAGTTTAGGCTTGATGTCAGGAAAAGCTGCCCAATAAAGAGAACGTTCCCGAGTGGAACAACGTGCTAGAGAGGTTCTGACCCGCCCCCCCCCCCCGGGAGTTGTCCAGGGCACACCAGATGGTATCTTGTTGGGGTTACTCTCGCAGGCATTACTGGGACTTGGACTCAGGCCTTCAGAGGTTTCAGAGTGGGGCTGGGAACCTCTACTTCTTTGATCTCTGCCCCGTTTTATGGTTCTGGGGAAATGGGAGCTTGTGAGGGGGGTGGAGTCCTGGGCCACCTGCCCGGACCCCACATGAACCATTCAGTGAGGACACTTCCCAGAGTCCCAAGATGCTCGCCCACTGTATGAGTAGGATTTGCAGCCTGGGATTTTGGAGTCTTCTCCAACTTGGCCTTTGGCAGCTTCGAGCCTGGAAAGAGCATGACTGCCCTCCAAGCTTTGTTTGCTTCGCTTCTTAGAAAGAGAGCTCAGGCAGTTGTGTTCCTGAAGGGGGGGCAGTTAGGCAGCTCCACCTCCATACCTCAGAGTCAGACACCTGCTGGGGAGGGCCACCCATGGCAGCAGGCAGCCATCCCTCTCTGTGGGTGTTCCTTGTGACCAGCTGCAGGTGCTGCTCCCGCCCTGGCAGCCACCCCACTCTTCATTACCTCATCTGGCCAGGCCACAGTAGAATCCTTCCTTTACATGTGGACAAGAGGGGAAGGAAGTCACCTTCAGGAAATGCTCACTTCCCTTCAGTAGAGGAATGCAGCGTTACGTGGTTTTGTCTGGGGATAAAAATGTCTTTTCAGAGCAATAGATGGAAATCACAGAAACAAGGGAAAACTGACAATAAATTGAACAATGAGGGCTGTCCGGACAGGGAGTGGGCTGCTCCTGGTGGTGGGTCACCCCTCGCTGCTTCCTTGGATGCGTTATGGAGGGACCCTTGTTCAGTGCCTGGCTGGATAAGGTGGACTCTGAGACCCTGGGATGTTGTGATCCGTCCAGCCTTTCCTAAGCTCACTGTCCTTCTCGTAGCCCTGGTCTGGCTGCCAGGATCCTGCTGCTGCTGCTGCCTCCCCAAGGTCTAAGGATCATTTTGGTTAGCCTGGACCAGCAGCACCTCCTGGGCCCTTAGTAACATTTATTAAATGCCTGCTCTGTGCCAGGTACTGAGCTAAGCACTGGGGATGCCAAGAAAGGCAAAAGATGGTCCCTGCCCTCAAGGAGCTTGCAGTCTGATGGGGGAGACAAGATGCTCACAACCAGGTACAAACAAGCTTTGGACGGTATAAATACGGAGGTAATAAGAGAGAAGACACTAGAATTAAAGAGAATCTGAAAAGACTTCCTGTGGCAGGTAGGATTTTAGCTGGTACTTGAAGGAAGCCAAAAGGCGGAAATGAAGAGGGAGGGCATTCCTGGCATGAGGCACAGCTAGAGAAAAATGTCCAGAGTTGGGAGATGTCGTATTTTGTTCGTGAAACAATAAGGACTGTGTCAGTTATGGTAGAGTATGTGAAGGGGTGTAAAGTGTAAGAAGACTAGAAAGGTAAGGGAGAGCGTGTTAGGAAGGGCTTTGAATGCCAAACAGAGGATTTTATATTTGATCTTGGAAGTGATAGGGAGCCATTGGAATTTGAGTGGGGGCCGGGGGAGGGTCATGTGGTCAGACCTTTGCGTTAGGAAGGTTACTTTGACAGCTGAATGGAAGATGGGGGACAGTGGGGAGAGAACTGTGTCAGGGAGACCAACCACCAGGTGACTGCGATAGGGCCTATAGAGGGTCAGTGTCAGCGGAGAGAAGGCGTGTATGCAAGAGACATTGGAACAAGCCTTAGCAACAAATTGATATGGGGAGGGGGGGGAGTTGGGCAAGCCTGGGTGAGTGGGAGGTTGAGGATTCTCCACAGAAGTAGTGGATTTAGGAAGAGGAGTGGGGTTGGGGTGGAGGCAGATGATGAGTTCAGTTTGAGGCATATAGAATTTAAGATGTCTAGAGAACATCCGTAGGCAATTGGAAATGCAAGACCAGAAGGCAGGAGAGAAGTGAGGGTTGCCTAAGTAGATTAGAGGAGCATCAGCAGAGAGGTGATCCTTGAATCCATAGGAGCTGCTGAGATCCTCAGGTGAAGTAGGAGAGAAGGAAAAGAGAAGAAGGCCTGGGATAAAGGCCTGGGGGCCTCCCACAGTTAGTGAGTATGTCCTGGGTGGAGATCCAGCAGAAGAGATGGAGAAGGATTGGTCAGATGGGGGGAGGAGAACCAGGAGAGAGCAGTGTCAGAAGAACCCAGAGAGAAGAGAGGAGGAAGAAGAGGGTGATGGACCGTGTCAGAGGCTGTAGAGAGGCAGAGGAGGTTGAGGTCAAGAAAAGAAAAGCCATTTGCTTCAGTCATTAAGAGATGGCTGGTAGCTGGTCACTTTGGAGAGAGATGTTTCAGTCAAATAACAAAGTGGGAAGCCAGACTTCGGAGTTCAGAAGAGAGCGAGGGCAGAGGAAGCGGAGGCACCGGCTGCCACCAGCCTCCCCAAGCAGTGTCGCCACAGAAGGGATGGGGTGATTGATAGCTGTGAGAGATGGGGATCAGGTTGAGGATGGAGGCCCTGGGAGGAGATTTCTTCTGTCATTCATTTCCAAGCTTCCTTTATCACTGAACCCTAATTCAGAGCACCCTGGTCCCCACGTGGGCTTGATTCTCTGGGCCTCCGAATCTGCTGCATCCAATGTCCCTGGCTGGCAGCCTCCCAGCCTGGAGACCTCAGTCTCTTCATTGCTTCTTTTCATTCTCCACTTTTGCTGCCCACCCCACAGACCATGATTGTGCTATTCTAAAACTTATTTTCAAGGGAAAATATACCGTGCCAATACAGAAATAACACCTCAGATCTGTGGTTTTAGAAGCACACAAAAAAGAGAGCTGTCCCGGCCCTGAAGCCTACTGTATGGGCT